TATCCTCTAGTCTCTTGTGTGCAAACCCACAAACGTTGTGGTACAACCTGTTTTGATTAGGTTTAGTTTTGAACTACAACGTTTGTGGATTGGCACACAAGAGATTAGGTCATAGCAAGTCACATACTTGGTATTATGGATAGACACAGAGGAGACTAGAGCTAGTTGGCCCGTTTTACCATAGACGTGGTCCAGGTAGCAAAGGTTTGACCATGAGTCTTACTCAGATGCTTTAGCCTCGAATTAGTCACCAAGACACAGGGGATGGGTAATAACGCCTCAAGTAGAACAGATGGAGTGACGGGGGTCAAGTCAAATACTTGAACCAGGGAAATAGCAGACGAATGCTACGGGGCAAGAAAAATACTTTGATCAGACCTATGGAAGAAGGATTGCGTAACAATAGAACAGACTCTAATCGACACTCCCAGCACAAGGGCGAAGGGGGATGAGGGGGTAAGAAAGCCAGCGTAGAGTGTGGAGAGTTCTCATAAAAGCCGCTCAAAAGCGTATACCATACCATATTTAAATAAGCCAGTAAAAATTGTGATAGTGAAGGCGTGAACCGAGGATATAGGATTGGTGATTAGCCTAGGGGGGAAGGAGAGATACCAGGATTGTTTAGCAGACAATTGGTCAATGGATCGGCTTCACTTGTCTCATTGATGAGGTATAGTGTGGTGCTAAGAACGACAAGACTCACTGACAATGCCGACGCAACGTCTGGGAATGTACCACATCCACGGTCCGACTCTGGAAATTATCATGCATACTATGGACTCCGGACTAGGTGCGTTCCTCTAAGTCTTCCTACCAATATGACCAACCTTTATACAACGAAAGGAGACTGCGACCACACAAAAGGCCAGACTATTTTGGGCTTCATATGTTCGTTTATAAAATGTAGGTCGTTATAACATGCCTTAAAAGCTTTTCAAGAAATTCAAAATACTGTTTCAAGAAATTCATCGCTATAGAACGAGAAGCATGATAAGCTTTAGCGCTCAGAGTTCATTATACATTCTTTCAAACCATAGAACACGTAAAACACAGCTTATTTTACTTGTGCAGACCTATGCTTCGAAACACTAATGCAAAATATGTAGTTATATATTTATGAAGAAAAACTGGATTTGGAAGAATTCCTTAGTCATATATTGTGACATAAGTCGCAGAACGTTGAGCCGAGGACTTTTTCGCATAATTCAATCACAATGCGACAATCCTCCTTTGGTTTCCGGTGAGACCACATCACGAATTCCTTCCAACAAAATTTTCCTTCGAAATGGAAAGTCATGTCACAATATGTAGCTCTATATTTCTTCCTAAAAGGATTGGGCTAATCGTAACTAACACCAAATCTTAAAAGTTGTTTTTCTAAATTCATTTATTGGGCACCTATGCTATGGCCGTTCTATGCTCCAAATGATTTCATTTTTAATCAATCAATAAAATGGTTAAAAAAATTAATACAAAGTTCAAGGGGTTTATTACCTGGGAGCAGGTTAAATCCCATGTATGCATAAGCTGTGCAGTTCGTCAACAAATTCAACACTATCTTACTTGTAGGTGGGAAGAAATTTGCCAAATATTCTGAAACTGATCCCTAATTTTCAGTCTGAAATATATGTTTCCTGATGGCTTTTTTGGTAATACATCATTCATAATCTGCACACATGTCAGCTGATTTAATTTAATTATAATTTAACACGATTGATTTTGCTCATATCCGTTTAAACTAATTGTAAATTTGCACCAGTTTCCCCTGACTTAACAGAAAATTATTCACTTATCATGCCATTCTTAGAGCCGCTCTCATTCAAACCGGACCCCTATTGCAATCTTGTCTCGGCTTTGCAATCATCCTAAGCAGAATTCTGACTGTGGATATGCCGGTTCAGCGGCAAATAATATTGCTCCTGTGGCACAGCACCCTATTTCCCTTGAGTCGCTCGACAAGCATGACTTTCAAAGAAAAGCTGGCACATCTTCAGTGAGGACGTTTGAGATCCTTGAGTTTAAGATAAATTTCACTACAATACATGGATGTTGCATGTAATAGATTATTAGCAACTATTAAAATTCTACATTCTCATTGTGCACCATATTGGAACTAAAAACATCTCATTTAAGTTTAGAATTTTTCAGTATTTCACAAGCTCACTATAATCACCCGACAATTTGCCAATTGCTATGGATTATATTATAGCTACCTAAACTATTAGGTAGCAAGTTATTTAGTGAAAAGGTCACTAAGGTCAATAGTGAGAGCAAATAGCATTTTCTTGCTCGTCCTATGAAGGAATTATCATATGCGAAAAGGTAGAAAATAGACTCACCCGCCCTTCAAATGACGAAATAGACGCTTCTTCATCTGCCTTTGTTGTAGGGAACTGTGAATCTTGCGTCCCGTCGTCCCGACCGACATTTCGGGCCCCATCAAGTGCCCCAGTTCCACTAGTTGTTAATGTAGCTAGAGCTGTTTCTGCCTGCGATTTGCCACTTCCTATTCTACCTTGACGTGACTCACTTAACTTTGGCCCTAAAGTGGTGACGACCAGGTCCTCAGGCAGGACAGAGGCGGTCTCGCTACTTTGTATCGAAGAGTCAGACATGGCCTCTTTAAGATTAGCATCCAGCTTCCAACGCACTTCCTGAAGTAAGAATAGAGAAGCAAAATAAATAATAGATGATAAAATAAGAGAACAAGATGAACAGAGGTCCTCAAGTATAAAAAAAAGATTTTCAGAGCTAAAAGACCTAGCTGTGTGCTTTTTTGTATTTAAAAGGATGCCTGCAAGTTGGGTGCACAAGGAGATTACGCATTTTTAATCAATAACTTAGTTGTCAATTAAGGGCTTCTACAATGACAACATCTTAGGTGTCAATGATTTTAATATAATCCAGATAAATTAAACATAAGCTCAAACAACTAAGCGAGAAACTGAATTTCTCTCCCGACATTAGATGAAGCTTTTTGCTGGGCCAACCAAAAGCAGATTTTAATCAAAAACATAGACATACTGACAAGTATGCGCTCATCTGGCATTTGAATATTTTCAATAAAATCGCTATATTTAGGATACTATTATATCTACCTAAGCATTTTGTCAAGACAACAATATATATATGAGTAATTTTTTCTTACAAAGTTACATTTGTACATCGAGCTTCACTTGGCTTTGCCCTCCAAAAGGATGATTTTTTCAGACCTAACTGCTGTTTTGACCCCACATAGGTCCAACCTGGATCTCCAGAGGGAGGTAAAGCCATGGTAAATTCCATAGTATCCAGCAGCCTTCTACACACTTTACTCTGTGAAAATCAAATATTGTGCCTTTTATCACGTTAAGAAACTATTCTTCAAAGGGGTTTTCTCTTCCCGGCTATATGGCATTTTTGGCCCCACCTGGATCCCATCATAGCTTCCAACAGGGGAATAAGCAATCCATAGCATAGCAACAAATGTCAATGTATTGTACTCTGTTTATTGTGGGGAGTTCAGCCATCTGTACCTAACTCATCTTAAGTGACCTAAGATGGCCCAACTTTCTATTAAAGATCTTATGATAGTCTAGAATGATACATATTTATATAAATTAATTTCGGAGCTAAGAGG